TGTATAGGTTGCATATCGGATGGTGTACCAGTCGCTAGGACTGATTGTTTCCATTAATTTTGGTTTTCTTCTTTCTTCTTTGCTCTTGATGAGGAGAGATCCATCGTTGCATCTAGATGGCAGCTTGCTAGCTTTTAAAATCCCACTCGCTACGTGCCAAAGTAGGAGGTGGAACAATGTTTTGTATAGTATGTTATGCCAATTGAGCTTGATGTCCCCTGCGACTATAGTCCCAAACCCTCAGGTTCAACTACTCAGTCCCTCTGGGTAGCTGGCTATGACCAAACAATGACCCCAGCCTTGCCCTTTGCCAGCTCTACTATACACCTGGGAATTCTGATCATTCACATAAACTTATAGGACCATTGTCTGCCAACCCTATATATGATCTTGGATACACTCCCCATTTCATAGACATACCTAATCATTTAGCTTGTCCACCTATCTATCCATCCATATACCCATGTTTTCCCTTCACTTACAACTCAGTACTATATATGCAGTGACTTAGTCCTAATAAAACCAAACCCATTACCTTCCAGTCAATTCCAAGTCATAGTGATCCTATGGGATAGAGTAGAACTGCCTCATAAGGTTTCCTAGGCAACAAGATGTATTGAAACAGGGCTGCAATGATGGGCACAAGTATAGCAAGGATTGTAAGGATGGTGCACAACCAGGCAACTGTCCTGTTGTTCATAAAGTTGCTGTGAGTTGGAGCCAATTTTGTAGCACCTAACACTGACAACCTTCAGGGAAGCAGACTGTAGCATCTTTCTCCAAGGAGCATGTTTCTCCTGTGGTGTGGCTCCTGGGTTCGAACCACTGACCTTTTGGTTAGCCCTGACTGCCTAATCATTGCACCACCAGGACTCCTCTTAGCTCTAGTGGGAAGAAGCAGTCACCATCTTTTAGCTCTAGTGGGATGAAGCAGTCGCTAACACTGTGTTTTTTATCTCTGGTTTTGATAGGGTTTTCACAACATGGTATGATTGGTGTAACTCAGCCACGAAAAGTAGCTGCCATATCTGTTGCTCAGAGGGTTGCTGAAGAAATGAAATGCACTTTGGGATCCAAAGTAGGATACCAAGTTCGTTTTGATGATTGCAGCTCTAAGGTATAAAAATTTTGGTGGTATTCTTTTAACTACTGTAAGCTTATTAAAGGGGTGGATAAAGTTATGAAAGATTTGAAAATCCCATATGTTTGAAAGAAGGAAGGCCTCAGACTAGAGTTAGTTTTTGTTGTTCATTGTTAATGTATTAGTTCTGAAGAGTAATATTTACCACAGTTTCTCCCTCTTCGACTAGCTGATAACAGTTATTTTTCTTTTTCTTAGAGTTCTTGTTTAATGTTTTTTAGCTGTAAAGATTTTTGACATGTAGGTTATGTTTGTATTCTTAAAGTTAGTGGAAGTCTGACAACTTAATGAAGTCAGTAAGCAAATATTTATTAAGTATATTCTATCTGCATGGCTCTAATGAGTTTATATTTGTTTTCTTTTTAATAGTTAATAGTTAGAATTTATATTCCATCAGGATTTCTTAATCCTATACCAGCTAAATAATAATCCCTGATTTATATATGGTTCCTAATAGGAGGAATGAGAATGAACTTCCCCTAAATAATGTCTTGGCCTTCTTAGTGATCACTCCCTGGGGATTTTTCCTTCTTTGTTTTCTTCCTTTGTTGGTTCCCTTAGCTTTTGGACCTATTTATCACCTTGGTCTAATGCTACTCAACTGGTGGCATAGTGCCTAAGGCACTTGATTGCTAACCAGAAGGCTGGCGGTTTAGACCCACCAGCCACTCCTCGGAAGGAAGGCTGGGCAATCTACTTCCATAGTGATACTGCCTCGGAAACCCAGGGAAGGGTCGCTGTGAGTCAGAATCGACTTGACAGCAGTGAGTTTGGATTAATGGACAGGGAAGAGAAGAGAATGAGAGGAAGGTTTCCTATTTCTTTTATATTTGACTCTGGTTGTTTTTCCCCTTAAATTCTCTAAAACAGTGGCTGAAACAAAGAAGATGAATCCCATTTCATTGTTGTTCCCTACAACTTGCTCACCTGAAGCCATTGTGTTACCTTACCGCATTCTACTGACTTCATTGTATCTCCTTATTGCCCCCTCTAATTGCTTTATCCCAGAACACACACCTTTATGGTTCATCCCTACCTCTGTACAGATCATGCTTTTCATTACTTACTATCCTTGTTGGACTATTTAGTGTTCTTTCATTTAGTCAGATTAGTTTGGTCACTTCATGTTTGTACATTTTGGGGAAAAATTTAGTTAACAGAAGTGATGAAATTCTGTGATACTGTAACTTGGTGTACTCTGCCATTTGAACATTAGGAAACAGCAATCAAATACATGACTGATGGTTGTTTACTGAAGCACATTCTGGGAGATCCAAATCTTACCAAATTCAGTGTCATTATTTTGGATGAAGCCCATGAGAGAACTCTTACTACAGTGAGTATTTATATTTATAAATATATATATACGTGTGTGTGTGTGTGTGTGTGTGTGTGTGTGTTTATTTATTTATTTATTTATTGAGCAAGTATGCAGCATACTTCTTAGGGGCAGCTTTTTACTGTATGGAGAATTGCCTTCTCTTACATATTAATCTGCTGAAATAGGAAATGTTTGGTTAGAATATCAATGTATTTAAAATAACTTGGCAGTTACATTTGTGACTTACTAGAAGTTTGCTTTTCTTTCAGGACATCTTATTTGGTTTACTGAAGAAACTATTTCAGGAGAAGTCTCCTAACAGGAAGGAGCATTTAAAGGTGGTGGTGATGTCAGCAACTATGGAATTAGCCAAGCTATCTGCATTCTTTGGAAATTGTCCAATATTTGATATACCTGGAAGACTTTATCCTGTCAGGGAGAAATTCTGCAATTTGATTGGCCCACGAGACAGAGAAAATGCTGCATATATTCAAGCGGTATTACTTGGCATCTTTTTTCTGTCTTTTGAAAATCTGTGATTTTTGTTAATTGAGTAGTTTGAGAATTTTGTTATGTTTATTGTTTTCACAACAACAAATGGATCCTGCAGCTTTTGAGAATTCAAACGTAATTTTTCTGTGGAGCAAGAGGAGGTAGTGATGGAGGAATGACTATATTTCCACTCACATGTTATGCTTGTGTTTCTTGCTTTAGATTGTGAAAGTGACCATGGATATCCATTTGAATGAAATGGCTGGAGACATCTTGGTTTTTCTGACTGGTGAGCATTCAGTATCAGGTTTAAAAATGTTTACTGTTTTTGAGAACAGAACGTGGCAAGGGGACAGAGTGCTACCTCTGTGCTGTAAATCTGGACTTTCCTCACTTGTTGCCCTAGCTTTTATGTTTATCTGAATAGTTTTAGATATAAGATATATAAGATAATTCTACATTGCCATAAGAATTATCAGACTTGTTAGTAAATATGTATAAAACAATTGACCTTTTAGGAAAAAGATATTAAATGGTGAAGTATTACTATTTTTATTGGTCTGTCTTGTGTAGAGCTGTTACCAAACTAAACAGTCCTAGGTCAGAATGGTTAATTCCATTATTTCAAAAGGCAGTCCACAACTCCTTTCTTCTTTGAGTGGTGGGATGGTACTGTGTGATAGCAGTACATAAGGTGTGGAATGCATGGGTCACAGATAAGCCTTTGGCGGTTTTTTGGAGGTCAAAAATAGAGCTGTTAAATCTCAGCTTAGTGTGACTCTCCCAGGAGCAGCATCCTACTAACAGGAATGAATCATTTCATTGCTCACTTCCTACTCTGTCTTGTACTGTCAGAAGTGAAACACTGTAACAATCTCTGTCTTTTTGAGATTTCTTAAATAATTTTTGAGGTTACTTAAGTATTTTAATATATATCTAAAAGGCAGTATTTCTTTTTCTTTTTTTTTTTTTTATTAGGATTTGGGTGAAGATTTACAGAGTAAATTCACTTTTCATACAGCAGTTCACATATACTTTGTCTCATGTCATTGACCAAAGTTTACAATGCAGCAGCTCCCCTCCCACTTCCTCCCCGTAGCCACCTCCTCCCAGTGTCCACCCTTCATACTCTTCTGCACCCTGAGCTATCTCCCTGTGCATAAGCAGCCCTTCCTTCTCGCATGATTGTTCTCTCCAGGGCATGTGTCTACTTGAGGTAAATGTTTAACTCACATGCCTGTACTTTGTTTGGCTGGAAACCAGAGTTGTGGGTTCAATTCCAGACCTTGAGTTTTGTTCCACATTGTTCTCCCTCTTTATGCAGGATCTCCTACATCCCATCCAAGTGGATGGCAGTGGTAGCTGGGCACCATCTAGTTCTTCTGGTCTCATAGTTGTATAGGTTGCAGATCGGATGGTGTACCAGTCACTAGGACTGATTGTTTCCATTAATTTTGGTTTTCTTCTTTCTTCTTGACGAGGAGAGACCCGTTGTTGCATCTAGATGGCAGCTTCCTAGCTTTTAAGGTCCCAGTCGCTACTCGCCAAAGTAGTAGGTGGAACAATGTTTTGTATAGTATGTTATGCCAATTGAGCTTGATGTCCCCTGCGACTATGGTCCCAAGCCCGCAGGATCAACTACTCGGTCCCTCTGGGTAGCTGGCTGTGACCAAGCAATGACCATAACCTTGCCCCTTGTCAGCTCTACTATACACCTGGGAATTCTGATCATTCACATGAACTTATGGGCCCATTGTCAAAGGCAGTATTTCTTGGATTGGCATTTCCTCTGTTAACAATTTTACTAAGTCTTCCTTAAATACTGTATTAACAAGATGAAAAAGCTAAAGATTGTAAATAATTTTCTTCCTGCAGAGATTTAAATTCTTTGGGAACTGATGTTTTTTCTGCCTTAAAGTTGTTGAGATTTGGTACGAGTGTAGTAAAACAGTTTTGTGCTCATCTCCTTTACATCAAAGAAAAGATTTAAAACAGCTATTATGCAGAACTCATTTCAGTCTAAAAGAGTTTTTTTTTCCATTTTTAAATTAATTTTGCTGTTCAATTTCTGAAGTTATTTTTCTTCCCATTTCAGGCCAGTTTGAAATCGAAAAAAGTTGTGAGTTACTTTTTCAGATGGCAGAGTCTGTTGATTATGATTATGATGTCCAAGATACCACTCTAGATGGGTTGTTAATATTGCCATGTTATGGATCTATGACAACAGGTAATTCCTCATTAGAATTGAAAATTTGACTGATTTTTAAAAGGCTTTTCATTGCATACTTGCATATGTACAGGAAAGTGTCCAGATCATAAGTGTTTAGATCCATGAATTTTACAAACTGACCTCATCTTTGTAACCAGCACCCAAACTGTGATACATAATGTTAACAAAACCAGCATCCCATTACAGAAGTGATTCTATACTTGAAATCTTTTCACATTTATTCACTTATTTAAGAGCCTCAGATATCCCGGTAGTAAGAGTGGGCTGTGTTCTCTCCCAGTGGAGCAAAAATATCAGATGTAAATGCTCTGAAATGAGAACTCTTAATTTCCTAGTAGGAATACTTATGGTAATAAGTCAAACCTTGTTTGCCATAGTATGGAATTTCTAAAAATCAGATATATCCAGATATATCTAAGACTAAGCGTAGTATATAGTTTTCCTTTTAAGTAGTCATGCCTTGTATAGTGTGCTTTTCAGTAATGATCCTATTCCTTTGTGACTTCAAAGAGCAAGTGTAAATCTTATGTGTTCTGAAATTTCATCATAAAGTATTTGAATGAAGTGTAGAATTCTTGTATAAAACTTTTATTATGAAATTTGACTTGTAAAACTAAAGGAAGCTGATGTCAGCCTTCTATTTGGAGTTTGGAATTTGCAGTTAAATATTTATATATTTTATGTGCATTTTTGTTTTTGTTGAGTAGGTGATTGCTCATATGCTTATAACAAAAAAAAGTTTAAGAATATATGTGTTGGTAAATAACCATAGATCATATGCTATTTTGGAAATATCTTTTGTGCTCTTAAGCCCTTACTCTCAATATTAAAGCACAGATCTCTATTTTTCTATCTTCAAAATAGTGCCTAGGGTTATTATTAGTTGTTTTAAGGTTTTTTTGTGTGTGTTCTAGAGGCTTGCTTCACTGACTTTTACAATTTATTTTGCAACTGGTAATTCAGAATTCATTGTGGTTACTTTGTTACTAACCAAAGGATATTTTCTTCAACATAAAGTAAATAATTTCATGCTTAGTCCTGACACATTCAAAATAGTACTTTTTTTTTTTTTAGCTAATACCATGTTTAGGAGCTTTGGTAGCCTAGTGCCTAAGCACTTGACTGCTAACCAGAAGGCTGGCGGTTCAAACCCACCAGCCAGTCCTCGGAAGGAAGATGGGGCAATCTACTTCTGTAGTGATGTTGTTGTTGTTGTTGTTGTTATGTGCCGTCGAGTCAAACCCGACTCATAGCGACCCCTCCTTGGGTTTCCGAGGCAGTATCACTACAGAAGTAGGATTGCCCAACCTTCCTTCTGAGGAGTGGCTGGTGGGTTTGAACCGCCAGCCGTCTGGTTAGCAGGCAAGTGTCTTAGTCACTGCCTCGGAAACCCAAGGAGGGGTCGCTATGAGTCGAGTCTGACTTGACGGCTCATAACAACAACAACAACAATACCAAGTTTAACTTCCTACAATCTGATTTTTATATTATTAATAGTTGCTGGTGACCTGTTACTCCTCAAAGTGCATGCATTTTCTTCCATTACTTTATATTTTGATTTTGTGATACAAATGATAATCTCGGGAGCTCTGGTGATGTAGTGCCTGAGGCACTTGACTGCTAACTAGAAGGGTGGCAATTCAAACCCACCAGCCACTTCTCCGAAGGAGGGTTGGGAAATCTACTTAGTGATACCACCTTGGAAACCCAAGTAGGGGTTGCTACGATTGGGTCCAACTCGAGGGCACATGCCAATACCACCACCACCACCACCAATGATAATCTCCTTGAAATGCTGTCCTGTGGGATAATACTTAATTATCTGGTTCTCCTGACCATTCTTTCTCTGAGGTTGCTTCTTCCTTTCACTCCCCTCTAACTGTCTTCCTAACGGTTTCATCTTTAGCTTGCTGTTTTCCAAGTATTCTTTCTTTTGGAGAAGTTGGCTTCTAGGAGTTATCTGTCACTTCTCTGGGGATGACTCCGGAACCTGTCTCTAATTCAGGTTTCACTCCTGCTCTCAGAGTTCCTGGGTCTCCTCACTGAACTTTCTAGTTGGTGTATCATATCATCCCAAATCATTTGATTCAAGCAAGTGGTAACTCCTGTAGGTTTCCTTTTACCTTTATCTCATCCAGATCTTCTTTTTCTATTTTTACTGCCACTGCTAGAATTAGGATCCTCAATTTGCTTTCCTCAGTTGTTAACATAGCCTACTATATTGTTTTCCCTTACCATTTTGCTTGCAGTAATAAACTTAATCTTTTAAAAACATAACTCTGATTGTCAGTCCCCTGTTGAGTACCTTTTGCCAACTGCGTTAAAATGCCAATTTAATAATCTGGCATTCATTATCCTTCTAGCTTCACTTCAGCCTGCTTTCACCCTTAATCCCCAGTGTATGTGATTTTCTGGTGTATATGTGTAATGGACCATTACTTAAGAATTTCATTTATTTAGTTTCCCTTCTGGTTCCAAGGGCACTCAAGGGTGATCTACTGGTAATCCATTGTGAGGCTAATATTTATTGCAGCTGTATATAGATAGCAGTGTGAAGAGGCATTCACAGTGAGTTAATGAGTTACTGAGTAATGCATGAGGTGTTGAGTTGAGTGAAACAGAAAAGTGAGTGCCTGGGACGTCCCTCATCTTTTTTGTGTTACTCTGCATTTGCTATTTCCTTAACCCAAGCTCGTTTTCCTTTTATTTTCCCCATTCACAGGCTAAAATTCTGCTATTTGAATTATCTGGTACAACCAGTTCTATGAAAACTTTTCCTAATTTCTCTCCTTAGAACTAGCTTGATCTCTTCTTCGTTTGAACCACATTTTACTTTGTGTGCCTCTCCTGTTATGGTTGTCTTATTCCCTCCAGGAGTTTGTGAACCTGTTGAGGGCAAATACTTAATGTTGAAGATGTCCTGATAGATATTTGTTAAACTTGAGTTCCAAATTTTTTACTTTCTGCTGGACATTCTATTACTGTGTTGCATCAGATTCTTTGTAGAACTTCAATGTCTTGTTTCTCTGAAACCTTTCCTTCTCTGACTTCCCTTTTTGGTTCAAGCTACTGTAGTTCTTCCATTTATCTAGGGAAAAGCTGAACTCCAGAAAAGTTTATGAACTGAAATATGACATTTATTTTATAAACGACAAATGTTTGCATGGAATTGAGAATTTAAGCACTGAAAGTAACATCTAATTCAGTGCCTCTTTGCCTTTTTTGGTCTCAGATTCCATTAAAAAGATAAAGAAAGCCATATGTCTTCTTTTTCTAGAAAAATGCAAATGTACCCACATTTATATATTTGCATAATCAAACTTCTTTATTTTACAGATAGAGGCTGAGTGATGTTCCTGAGATTAATGGCAAATCTTCTGATGATGGATTGTTTATTCAGTAATAGTATATGTGTTTCCAGAGTACTGGATGGAAAGGCGCTTTCCCTTGTATTAGTGTACAACTTTATAAAAGATGAAAAAATTCTCATTTATATTATTACATAAATGTAAGAGTAGTTTCATTCCCCCCCCCCCCTTTCTACCTGCAGAACATGAGCTCAGTACAGCATTACCCTAGAACTTGACTTTTTCTTTGGAAGTTCTCTTAGATGTTAAAGATGCAGGGGAATAAGACTAGTGAGCTTCATATAAAAACTTTTACTCTATGTGGAGTCTTCACAAAGGAGAGAACTTTTGTCCAAAAAAAAAAAAAAAAATTTTTTTTATTTTTTATAAAATGAGTACAGTAGGGAAGATAGTTAAAATCACCAGGTCCCACCAGCATGACTAATGATAATCACTTTTAGCATTTTGGGGTATATTGTTTTAAAGTTTTCTTTATACACACGCGCACAAATATTTTTATTGTTTACTTTTAGTTTGTTTAAGAAAAACTGAAAGTAAGATTATATATGCTTTTTTATGTTTTTCTTTTTTACTCTTTGCGGAATACTAAAAAAGTCAGAAAAGTTAAAAAAAATTGTTTCCCACTACTCAGAGTTAACACATTGTTAGTGTCCTAGCATATTTGCTTCCAGTATTTTCTTGAAGAAAAATTACTCTGTTGAGGACAAATGATACTGTTTCATTAAAAAGAATTCAAGCACGATATGAAATTACAAAGATGAAAGTAATCACTTCAGATTCCTCCATCCAGAAATAACCATCCTAAACATTAGGAAAAACATTATTCTGTGTGTGTGTATGTGTGTGTATACGTGTATATGTATGTAGAAGAGTAGGTAGGTTGGTAATACTTTTTTTAAAAGTGAGATTGTGGTATTAGTTACTTTTTGAAAAGCATTTGACTGTATTTGAAGAAATAGTTAAACTTCAAGTAAATCTTTGTTTACCACATGAGATAATATAAAAGATTAAAGATGAAAAATATTAAGAAGTTGAAATTAATGTCTTCTTTTTAGACCATACTTGATTACAGATCTTATCTGTTAATTCCCTCATTTGAAAGGTGAGGACAATCATCATTTCACTCTCGTTTATCCTCCTTTTCTGTTACCTCTTAGTTATTTTTATATTGTTCAGATGTATTCAGTTTTCACAATTATTTTATCATGGCTTTTCCATTCCTAAGCTACTTTTGGGCTAATTTTTAGATTGGCTGGATTAAAAAAAATTGTTTAAATAGCAGTGTTCATAAATTACTGTATTTTGAGTTCTTCTGTTTGAGAATGTCTGGCTTTTGCCTTTATACTTGAGCTACACCTTAGCTGGGTTATGTTCTTGGATCACACTTTTTTCCCCTAGAACTTGATAGTCATTGCTCATTTGTCTTCTGGCATTGAGTGTTGCTGTGGAGAAGTCTAAGGCCAGCCTGATATTTATTGTATGTGATTTGCTTTTTCTTTTGCTTAAAAATCTCTATCTTTATCCTCAAAGTTCAATAGTTTTAATTAGGGTTTTTTTTTTTTGGTATCGAGTGTTTTATGTAAAAGTTTTCTAAAATTTGATGTGCTCTTTCTTAAAAAGAAACATCAT